ATATGTGTGTGTGTGTGTATATATAAGGATGGGATTCTTCAAACCTGCTCGACTCCAGGGTACTTATCTGCAGCTGCTTCCACAGCAATTGAGCAAGAAATCTCAGCGGACCCACCACCATACACAATGGAGTTGTTACGGATAAGATTTCGAGCAACACACAAGGCATCATGAAGGCTTCGTTTTGTTTCCTCTATCATCATCTTGTTACCTAAAGAAGTCCATTATTAAAAAAAGGAACAGTCTCAAATTTCCAAGTGAAAAATGTTGAACTTGAATAAACTACAAAAAAGTTTGCCCCTACTAAAGCATTGAGATAAGCATGCATGACTAACCTCCACGTATAAATATGGTTACAGCCCTTGAATTCGCACAGTGCTCAATATATATCATACGATCTTTAGTGGTTCCAAAGGCTTTTTCTCTGACCAAACCAGCCTGGCAATTGACATAAGCGTAAACGTTAGGCATCTTTAGTGCAAACCCTTCACTTATTTACATAACAAGTGCAAAATCGTATGAGGATATCTGCCTCGACAAATATTAATAAAATAAAGGAGTAGACTTGAGCAAAACAAAAATATGTGGATCATAGGTTGAAATTGTGTACCTTGCCTAATTTCTCAGTGGTCAACTCCTGGAATCTCGGCACAATTCTCCCACCTATTATCAAAGTCCATATAGAAAGGGATTAAGGTTCAAGAACCAAAGAGAGAAAAGGGGGAATTAATAAAAACAAAATAGATGTAACAGAAGATTAGAGATATAATGTAGAAACTAGAAACTGAAGCTGCAGGGTTTATATAAGAACCTGTAGCAATTGCTATCAGCTCTAGCTCCACTCCACCAACCCATCTCACAGCAGGCAAGTTTCGGTTCATCAGTAAGTGGTTCGCCTCATCATCAAAACCCCACTGGCAGATAACCAAAGTAGCCCCAACATCCTGTAATAATCCAGTATTATTTGGACATTAGCTTCATAAACATATATTACACATATGTACAGAAAAAAGAATGTAATCCAAATATCCCATCCTAGCAAGCATAAAGACTCTAACTAGTATGATGACCATTGTATATTTTTTACGACTATCATATTACCAATTTTTTTTAACCTTATTTCTGTACCTCTTGAAATTTATAGGATGAGCTTCCTCCAGTTGCTTAAGTTTTAACACGTCACTCAATCAAACATCAAATATATAAAAATAGATTACCTTGCACTTCTGAACCATGTCATCAAAGTACTTCTGCTCCTGTTGACGTAAAGTTTGGAATTTTTCCACGGTGTCAATATCAACCTTATGTTTAGTTTTTGGCTTCGGGGGCTCAAAGGGGCATGTTAAGATGGCAATTTTTGCATCCTCGATTTGCTTTGGCATCTGCGGATGACTCATGTCCTTGTCTACAACAATACCATATATTAGTTCAGTATCCTCCAGCTTTCCTCCAACTTTCCCTTCTACTTTAATTAAATCCAGATTAACATCTTTCCTCTCTAAATCTGCAACAGCAAGTACAGCTTTCACAGCAATCTCTGCCAAACTGCGCTTGCATCTATTGACACTGCAAACCCCAATTTACACAATATTACATTATATTTCAGGAAAAAAAATAAGAACAAAAAATCAGAAAAGAAGGATATAACTACAATTACAAAAACACACCCCTCAAGATTCCCCACGCAACCATCTCCACACTACTCATTCAGATATAATTGAATCCATCACAGCATGGCTAAGTATCACTAGTTCATAAGAAATGTATAAACAAAAGAACTACAACATCACGGGAGGAAAGATCCATAGTCCAAAACAAGAAACAATACTCACATCTTGGAGGACAGAGTGGTCATACAAGTCTGAATCAGAGGCTCGATGTTTGATGAGTCAAATTCAAATTTATGGGCTATGCGCTCCAAATGTTCAAAAGCAATTCTTGAAGCAACTTCATAACCTTCAGCAATCCGGATAGGATGAATCCCTCGTTCAAGTAACTTCTCAGCTTGTTCTAGAAGTGAACCGGCCATAACAACAACTCCAGTTGTTCCATCACCAATTTCATAGTCTTGGCTTCGTGACAATTCAACCATGAGCTTCGCGATCTGGTTGTCAACGTCCATTTGCTCCAGAATTGTTGCACCATCATTTGCTGACAGCAAAACAACCATAAATAAGATAGCGTTTCCATAATATAAAAAGTAAAACATACTGTAATGTAATTTCATTTTAATGGTAAAAACTACACATTTCTCACAAAATACAGGGTCATTAGTATTAAGCTCACGATATGAGGGTGACCAAATTGATGTCCTCAAAGTTTCACGGTACACAAAGGTGCCTCCGACTAGCCATAATAGAACAGTTTTTTTTATGCTTAACCCATACGCAGCCCGAAAATACAAATAACCCTTTTGTCCATATCCTTCAGCCAATATAAAAGTAGCCCTATACAGTTAAACAATCAACGCCCAACCTCAATAACAAGGAGTCCCATCAGAACTGACAAAATATTTAAAACCCCACCAAAATGTATTGAGCTCTAATCTGAACAAAAACACACAGTAAAGTGCAGATCTTACTTATTGTGACGTCTCCATCAGGGCTCTGAAGCATCTTGTCCATGCCTTTGGGTCCCAGGGAGGTCCGGAGGATCCGAGCCACCGCTTTCCCGGCGGCGATATTCGCCTTCTGAGCTTCGAGGCCGCGCAGCCTCGATTTATGCTCCTGCTCCTTCAGTATAATGAATGGCCGGCCATATTCGTCGAAAGCCAGCGACATTGTTCCGGGTCAGCACGAAAGTTCGGATCTTTTCGCAGATCCGAATTTGAAATCGGAGTCGAGGGCGGTAGAAAGAGAGTGAAGTGAAGGTTTTTCGAGAAGCTTGGAGAGAACAAACCTGTGCCCTAGTGGTGCCAAGTGCGTTAATATCGAATAAATAAGGTCCTCATTTTAATAAAAGGATTATTTATATTATAGCCCTCTTA